TCCATAAGGACTGCTGCTCTAAGGATTTCAATATATATCCTTAACTATTCAGAGTCCACCTAGAGTGAATATTATTCTACTTCATAAAAGCTTTACAACCATATAGGTCCACTACCACGCCCCCTCCTTTAGGTTATAACCATATGTGTGACATACATACACAACTAAAAGGACAGGAGCAAGGGGCACTTGGGTAGTTCTGTTGGTTAAACATCTGACTTTGGCTCAGGTCATGATCTCACGGGTTTGTGGGTTCGAGTCCCGTGTCGGGCTCTCTGTGCTGACAGCTCAGGGCCTGAAGCCTGCTTCAGATTCTGTGTCTCCCTCTCTCTCTCTCTCTCTCTCTCTCTCTCTCTCTCTGCCCCTCCCCCACTTGCGTTCTGTCTCCCTCTCAAAAAGAAATAAACATTAAAAAAAAAAAAAAGGAGGGGCGCCTGGGTGGCTCAGTCGGTTGAGCGTCCGACTTCGGCTCAGGTCATGATCTCACAGTTCGTGGGTTTGAGCCCCGCGTCGGGCTCTGTGCTGACAGCTCAGAGCCTGGAGCCTGTTTCCGATTCTGTGGCTCCCTCTCTCTCTGCCCCTCCCCCGTTCATGCTCTGTCTCTCTCTGTCCCAAAAATAAATAAACGTTGAAAAAAAAAATTTTTTTTTAAATAATAAATAAATAAATAAATTGAGGAAAAAAGATAGCCTTTTATAGAGAATAAATGAAAAAGAGATGATAGAATGTGAATGTCACCATGTTGCACTCTCCAATGAATTAACAGGCAGAGACAGTATGTATATGTGGCTGCTAAGATCATAGAAAGATAACCAGACATCAGCATGCCCTCTGGTGAAAGAGCACCCTCTACCATGTAGACTCTCGCCAAAGGGATTCGAACCTGTATCTAATTAAGTTTCTAGATCCAGGTGCTAATTTGATTGAAATAAGAGAGGGCAGAAGAACGTGTTGAATGTGAGTTGAACATTGAATATGAAGTCAGCAAAAACAGACTGTGAAAAAGTCCACACACTGCAAGGAAAAGAAGGAAATTAAGAGGGAATCCACAGATAAAAAGACTTAAAATGCATTTTCAGTAAGGTTTTTAGAATACATCTAAAAGGACACCTGGATGGCTCAGTTGGCTAAGCCTACGACTCTTGTTTTCGCTTCAGTTCATGATCTCAGTCATGATCCCATGGTTCCTGAGCTCAAGGGCTCTGCACTGACAGTGCACTGACAAGGGATTCTGTCTCTCTCCCCCTCTCCCCAGCTCGCTCGCTCGCTCGCTCTCTGTCTCTCTCTCTCTCTCTCTGTCTCGATAAAATACATCTAAGGATGTATATTTGGGTGATAAAACTATAAAGACACCCAAAATTGTGATAACTATTAAAGCCAGGGTAGTGGCCAGCTTTGGAAGGAGGAAGATGGCTGGGTAGGTCCAGGTAGAGTGCCTGGGACCGATGCAAAGTTCTATTTTGCAATCAGGGTGGTGGATACAAAGATGTCTGCCTTCTAATAATAATCAAGCTATTCATTTGGTTTGGTTGACTTTTCTAAGTCTGTGTTTTATTATGTGATTTAGAAAGAAAAAAATTAAAAACAAAACAAACCTCTTACACAGGAGTTGGCCATTTTTTTTTTCCCAAAGGGCCAGATAGAAAGTATTTCAGATTTTCCTGGCCAAGAGGCAACTCGAGAATATTACGTTCGTACTTATAACCATTTAAAATGGGACAATTAAAAAAAAAAAAAAAAAGCCTAAAGACAAACCCAGGCATTACAACACTGAGGGTCCACTAAATCGCTGAATTCTGGATCCCAGGAGGCTCCCATCCCTGGAGTCCCAGGACCTGCGTCCCCATGCCCTTTCCCGGCTCCCGTGGGCGCCGCCCCCCTCCCATCCCCCCACCGCTGGTCCCCTCAACCTCCGCGTCTCCTAGCAACAGGCAGACGCAGCAGTCACTCTCAGATGGACGCAGGCTGAAGAGCATGGGAGCGAGCACGCATGCGCAGGGGGAGCTCCGGGCTCCACCAAGCTGCTCCGGGAGAAAGGGGAGAGCCTAGAAGCACCCAAGCCCTAGGACCCCGCCCCAAGCAAAAGTCTGTGTCCCAACTCTTCCCACAAGTCCTCTCCCACACTCTTGTCGCTCAAAGTATGGTCTGGTAGGCAAGGGGCAGCAACAGCATCACCTAGGAGTCTGCTAGAAAGACAATTGCGAGCTTACCCAGACCTACTAAGTCCGTGTCTGCAGTTTTAACAAGATCTGGTAAATCCCTATGCATATAGACATTTGACAAGCGTTGCTTTCACAATCCAGACAGGGCAAAGCCGTAAACAAATACATCAAACTGGGAATACCTCTTACAGGTTGGACTTTTAACCTCGACACTAAAAGATGGCTTTTATGATGAGGAAGTTCCCAAAGCTGACTTCCTTATGCTCAGTAAGGGTAAAAATTCCCTTGTGTCTCCTCTGACCATCAGTCCAGGACAGAATGCATCACTGACCTCAGGTTCCTGCTCTCAAAGCCAAGGGGGAAATCAGGAGGAACAATTTCCATTCCCAGAGTAAGGGCAGGCGTTGCTTCTCATGAACAAGGTGAAAAGAGAACGCTCAAAGAATGGGTGCCTTGGGCCTGCCAAGATAAGTAAGTCAAACAACACAAGGGCAATCCCAAACCCAGGGAAGGCAGCACCCAAACCCAGCTGAACAGCTCCTAGTAAACAGACTCAGTTTACATTTTATTTTTTATTTATTGACTTATTTATTGTTAAACTTGTTAATGTTTAGAGACAGAGCGTGAGCCGGGGAAGGGCAGAGAGGGAGGGAGACACACAATCCAAAGCAGGCTCCAGGCTCTGAACTGTCAGCACAGAGCCTGACGCGGGTTCGAACCCACGAGCTGTGAGATCATGACTTGAACCAAAGTCATACACTTAATCAACTGAGCCACCCAGGCGCCCCTCAGTTTGCATTTTAAACCCCAAAATGAAATTCTTACAAATACTAAGATGGATGATGAGTACTCCTGAGAGAAGTTCCCAGGTCAGTAACTTCTCAGTCTGGTGAGTTCTCCCCAGATATATCTGTCTTGGGAAACTGCAGACCTTAAGTTTCACTTCCTCATCAGAGGACAGTGGCAAATCAGAACAGACACATCACAATCCTAAAAGAACCACTTTGCTTCGGGGGGGGGGGGCCCCACAGATTTACCAGGGAATACCACACTTAAACAAAAGAAAATGACCATTTTTTAATGGCAGGGACAAAACAGCAAGATAGAGGAAAAACCCTTCCTCCAACAGAAAACAACTCAAAAAAATGCATTTCTAAAACTCCATGATACATGCTATAACATAGATGAACCTTGTCAACATTATGCTAAGTGAAGTTACAAAAGATCATGTATTGTGTGATTCCATTTACATGAAATGTTCAGAATCGACAAATCTACAGACAGAAAACAGATTAGTAGTTGCCTACCGCTGATGGGGGTGGTTAATAGCTGAAGGGCATGAGGTTTCTTTTGGAGGTGATGAAAATGTTCTGAAAGTAATTATGATTCACAGACGATGATTCTGTGAATGTACTGAAAGCCACTGACTTGTACACTTTAAGTGGGTGAACTGTAGGGTATATGAATTATATTTCAATAAAGCTGTTTGAAAAACATAATCCATGGCTCCACACTAGATCCACATTAGTCTAAAAACATGGAGTTCCTACTATAATACAAAAACTTTCTGAGAAAAATCTGAAAATGAAAGAAAGTTGTTGACGTCAGTAGTGGTTAGAGGCCCCAGCTAGATTTCTCTAGCAAAACACTCCCATCTCAGTTTGGGGAAGAATTTCACAGTCTTGTCTCAAGATCATCAATCTCACAGAAATCCCCATCTGGCTTTGGGTTCCTGTTCCAAAAACGCTGGAAAAACCAAAACAGGCAAAACACACTTTCAAAACAACACTTTTAATTTACGTGGGCAAGAGGAGAAACAGAGGATCATGGGATAGATGCTATGCTCTGTCAGAATACAAAGTTGAGAATTCACCATTGCTATGGAAACTCGAGTCCAAAAAGACTACACGTTTCCCAAGGAAACCATTTTTCAAAAGTCCCTAAATAACATAACTCATAAAGAATGACCAAAAGAGCCCATGTGGATAGCTGAGGCCTAGTAGGTGGCCACACTGATTTCAGCTCTGCTGCTCCGCTTTAACCTTCATGAGTTCTCTTCTTCACCTGTTTCATTTTCCAGGCCAAGAGCAGAGGTTATCATGAGAAGCCCCATGAGGGCCCTGGCTGTACCCACAAGGGCCTGTGTTGGCATCATGGTCACAGCTGTCACCACGGAGAAAAAGACAGAAGCGGGAGGTGGAACAGGTACCTCTCTTACCCTAATGCCAAGCACACAAAACCCTAGGGCTTTGGGAAACTTAGAGAGAGAGAAATCTCTGCAGCTATTGGTCAACAGCTTCATCCTGCCCTGACAACCTGGATTCCCTCTAATCCCCAGGCAAATTAAAAGACCAAATGTTATTTAGCAATTAATAAGGAAACAGATGCTATTTGCTCCTGTTCCAAGGGGCCTGCTTCAATCCCTAAGAACAAAACAGTCATTTCCAATGCCAAGGGCAAAGGGCATTGGCAAGTGCCTAGAACAGTGCCTGGCACATAGTTAATATTCAATATGTTTATTGAATGCTTCTTGAATGGATGCTAATATTACCTTCCTTGGCACTCTGCCTTCTTCCCTCAGCCTGGAAACACACACACACACACACACACACACACACACACACATACACGTGTGTGTGCGCGAGCACACACACGACGTTGAATCCAAGCCTGTTCACTGCAACTCCAGTTGTAACCTTGCAAAATTAATTAATAAACATGACAATTACTACTATGATATAGATTTCTGGAGAGCACGGATTTTTATTAAAGGATTTTGTTGTGACTAATATACCTTAAGAGCCTAAAACAATGCCTGGCACTAGTAGCTTCTAAATGAATATTTGTGTAATGACGAATGAATCAAGGGCCTACTATGTGCCAGGCAGCTGTGCTAGCTAGGCCTACTGCTGACGTCCCCTTCCCAATCACTTCTACCCGAGCGGCAGAGGCTGCCTTGAGTCCTCCTACCGCCAGGGGCCGCTGTACAAAGAGCGCGGCTTCCTTTCCACGCCACCGTCTATCCCCGCGGTGCCCCTTGACCCCGTGAAGTTACTGCCCCGAGTTAAGATGGCGGCGTCGATGGCAGCTGCAGCTCGGCGACTGCGGCGGGCCTTTCGAAGGTCGCCTCTGTGGGGGGGCCTCAGCCGTCGGCCGTTCTCATCCGAGCCCCCTCCAGCCTCGGCCACGGCCGTTCGGGACGCCTTCCTGAGCTTCTTTCGGGACCGCCACGGCCACCGACTGGTGCCGTCCGCCTCCGTGCGGCCCCGCGGCGACCCCAGTTTGCTTTTCGTCAATGCGGGCATGAACCAGGTGGGGGCTGAGCCACCCTGAGCGGGGGCGGAGTTTGTGATTTTTTTCCGGGGAGAAAGGCGCTGCGGGATTGGGCAAAAGAAGGGAGGGGCGGAGCTCTTGGCTTTGGAGGAAAGGGCCATTTGTTGTTAGGCTAAGTCGTTGGGGGCACAAGTTAGGGCTTGGGGAGGGCCCGACCTCGGAGCTTGGGTTGGGATTTAGTTTTAGGTCCGAGAATGGAGAGTGTGGAGTTCTCTGGGGGCAGACTGGTGGGGGCAGTCTGGCTTCATTTATTCATGCTGTAAATAAAGGTAACTAATTCGTTAAATAAACGTTTGTTGAGCACATTTTATGTGCTAGACTGTATTCTCTAAGCTTTTGACTTTGAGCACCACTTACCCTCTCTAGATTTGTCTTCACCTGTAAAATGAGCAGGGAGGGGGGAATCGGTTAACCGTAGAGACTTTTTTTTTTAAGTGTATTTTTATTTTGAGAGAGATAGAGCAAGTGGGGAGGGGCAGAGAGAGAGGGAGACAGAATCCCAAACAGGCTAGGGGCGCCTGGGTGGCTCAGTGGGTTAAGTGGCCGACTTCGGCTCAGGTCATGATCTCGCAGCCCCGCGTCGGGCTCTGTGCTGACAGCTCAGAGCCTGGAGCCTGCTTCACATTCTGTGTCTCCTTCTCTCTCTGCCCCTTCCCTGCTCATGCTGTGTCTCTCTGTCCCAAAAATAAGTAAACATTAAAAAAAAAAATTAAAAAAAAAAAAAAAAGAATCCCAAGCAGGCTCCATGCTGTCAGCGCAGAGGCTGATGCAGGGCTTGAACTCACAAACCGTGAGATCATGACCTGAGCTAAAATCAAGAGTTAGAAGCTCAGCCGACTGAGCCACCCAAGCACCCCAAACGTAGAGGCTATTAAATGCTGAGTTTGTGAGGCATGCCCAGTGCCCTGTGGTCTTGGTTTTATACTGAAGTTATTGGGTGTGGTTTAAAGAAGCTGACATGAAGGATGAAGCCATTCAGTGCCCTGTTTCCCGCCACCAACATAGTCCTCCTTCTTTTATGTTGCCTAATTTACTAGCAGAGTATCTCTGTTTCCTGATTTATTTACCTCTTGTCTGCTCCACACACATCAGAGATGGGTGCCTCCAGGCTTCCAGATTGCCCCTTAGCCAAGACCACACCGCACTCTCGGGGGCACAGTCAGCCTTCACTCTGAACACCCCACTCCCCACTTCTCCCGTCTACGGAGGGAGTGAGAACTGGGACCTTCGTGTGTTTCCAGTTCAAGCCCATCTTCCTGGGCACCGTGGATCCACGAAGCGAAATGGCAGGCTTCCGACGTGTGGCCAACAGCCAGAAATGTGTGAGGGCTGGAGGACGCCACAACGACCTGGAGGATGTGGGCCGAGACCTTTCCCATCACACCTTCTTTGAGATGCTTGGCAATTGGGCTTTTGGGGGTGAATATTTTAAGGTGAGTCTCCAGGAAGCCCTAGAGTTAGAAAAAAGGTCATTGGTCAACCAAGAAGGGGCTCAAGAGGAGTCCTGTCTCAACTCCTAAGCCCTGCTTGGACAGGGCTCATACTACACAGGAAGGCAAAGTGCTAGATGAACAAGTATGATGAGACTGTGTCTCACTTCCCTAATTGGATTGTAAGTGTGAGGGCCAGGACTGTGCCTCCTGCCTAATGGCTGGTTGGTAATTGTTGAATGAATAAATGGTCAGACAAATACTAAAATGCAGGAGTTAGAAATCATCCCGGGTTAGGGTGGAAAGACAACTTCATGGAGAGAGTGGGACTTGAAGGAAAGGATCTAAAGGAGGGGTGAAGTTTTCTGGACAGGAAAAAAACTCAAGCAGAAATGGTCATGGTTTGTTCTGGAAACAAGGAGGGCAGTGGAATTTTGTGTTAAGCTGAGGGCTGAACTCATGTGGCTTGATTGGTGCTTCAGTGGGGCCCTCTTCTCACCATTTTCCTCCTCACATCCCATGTGGGTTTCCCCTGCAGGAGGAGGCTTGCCGCATGGCCTGGGAACTGCTGACTCAGGTCTACGGGATCCCTGAAGACAGGCTCTGGGTCTCCTACTTTGGTGGTGACCCCAAGGCAGGGCTGGACCCAGACCTGGAGAGCAGGGACATCTGGCTCAGCTTAGGGTAAGTCTGCCTCTGCCCCTTGTGTCCACTTCCAGAGGGCAAGAGGACTGGCAAATGGAGAGTACCAGCATCAGTCATCAGAGTCTTAGCATCTGCTCCCAGAGCAGATGGGGGTCAGCCCTGTTTCTCCTCTTGCTGAGCTTGGTGGAGAGGCTCTCATGGCAGAGAGGGTTCTGGCTTCCAGGTTTGTCTGTCTCCCTACCACCTGCCTGGCTTTCTTGTCAGGGTGTGTGCCAGTCATGTGCTTTCCTTTGGACCACAAGAGAACTTCTGGGAAATGGGGAACACTGGCCCCTGTGGGCCCTGCACGGAGATCCACTATGACCTGGCTGGGAGAGGGGGAGCCCCCCAGCTGGTGGAGCTGTGGAATCTGGTCTTCATTCAACACAACAGGTAATGGGGTGCTGAAGCAGAAGGAAAATCCCTGGCCAGAAGTGGGCAAGGTGGCATTCAGGAGACTTTGATCCATTTCTTATAAAAAAAAAAAAAAAAAGCACCTAAATGGTGTTTACTGTGTGCCAGGTACATTTCTAAACACTTTTCAGGTACTAACTGATTTAACCCTAGTCTTTGCTCGTGACACTTTCAACTAGTCACTGCTGTCCGCCGGCTTCTGTTCTCTCATCACTGGATGGCACAGAGCCTGGTGGTCTCTAAGATTTTCTCCCAGCCTTGACATGTCTCTTTCTCAGGGCAAAGAATTCTGTCCCAGAAAGGGGATGTGTGGGTCCAGGCAAGGGCCCAAGCAGGGGTGAGGGTGGAGATCACCCTTTATGAGAAAGTACAGGACCCAAGGCCATCACTGTCTGCCTTTGTGGGAGAGGGGTGGATACCGCCTTCTGGTTCCTCCCACTGTCAGCCCCTCCTCGTTCCTCCGCTGCACTTGGGCATCTGCCTCACCCCAGTAATCCCATGTGGGGCCTCACCTTGCACACCTTCCCTGGCCAGAGAGGCAGATGGAAACCTGCAGCCCCTGCCCCAGCGGCACGTGGACACGGGAATGGGCCTGGAAAGGCTGGTGGCCGTGCTGCAAGGCACGCGCTCCACTTACGACACTGATCTCTTCTCCCCGCTGCTTGACGCCATTCAGCAGGTGAGCCGGCCTCTTCCCTTCCAGAAGCTGGCGCTTTGTTGAGAACTCCGAATACTCCTGCATGTGGGAACCTTGCCCAGCCAAGGATAGCAGGGTCAAACATGAGGCTGGGATTTGTATTTATTACCTGATACTGCTCCCAAATCCTTCCTTCCTTCGCATCTTCAAAAAATAGGTGTTTAGTGCCTACTTTGTATGTAGTCCCTTGTGCTTAGTAGAAGAGATTACATCGTAGCCTAAGAGATAAATAAGTAAGTGTATTAAAGAACAAGCCGGCAGATTTGAACCAGATTGCAGATTGTGACCAGGTAGTAAACATGGATGATAGTAACTGTGGTGGGGGTAGGGGGGCCGGTGGAGAGGAATCTTCGATGAAGTGTTTGGGGAAGGCTCACCAAGGAGGTGATCTCTGAGCTGGAACCTGAAAGAGGAGAGCCAGCCACAAGAAGCTCATTCCAGGCGGAGGGGATGGCAGGTACCAAGGCCCTGAGGCAGGAAAGGAACACAAAGGTGGCCTAGAGCTAGCCAGAGTAGAATCACCTGGGATGTAGCTGGAGAATGTGTGACTGCGCTTTTGTTGTGTAACAAAGCACCTAATACTTTGTAGTTTAAAATAACAACCATTCATTTAGCATATGAGTCTGTGAGCTAGCAATGCTGGCTGGGCTCTGTTGGGTCAACCTTTTGGTCTTCTGTGAGTTCTTTCATAACACCTATAGATAGCTGCTAGGCAGCTGTAGTTCGAGGACTGGCTGGCTGGCTGTTTGGGGCAACGGGGGTGACCAGGCTGTGTGTCTGTCAAGCAGCAGGCTAGCTTAGGGTTGTTCCCATCCCAAGGCAGCAAGTTCCAAGAAGGAGAACAGAAGCACACCAGGTCTCTTGAGGCTTAGGCTCAGGACAGTGTCCTTTCCACCTCATTCTGTAGGCCAAAGCAAGTCGCAAGGCTAGCCTAGGCTCAAGGGATAGAGAAATAGATTCTATCCTTGGATGGGAAGCAGCTGTGGTCTCGTTGTAAAGTGGCAAGCACACTGAAGAGGGAAGGATTGTGGCCATTTTTGCAAACAATCTACCATAGAAGGGAAGGCAGAAGTCCAACCTTCTGGGCCCTTGAAGTCCAAAGTGGGGCTCCTATTATGCTAAGTGTAGTGAAAAGGGTTCTGCGTGGGGGAGGGGCATGATCTGATTGACACTTTTAAAGGCCCCTCTTGTTGCCGCGTGAAGGATGAGCTGGAGGGAGACCTAGAAGAAGCTAAGAAGCCAATTGGGAGGCTGTTTTGTAGTAAAGGGAGGAGACAGGAGGGCATGGTTGAGGCTGGTAGCTGTGGAAGTGGAGAAAAGTAATTGATTTGAAAGATCTCACAAAGGCAGGACAGGAGCAAAAGTCCCCAGTGACAGACTGGATGAGGAAGGGAAATAAAAATCAAGGCTCGCTCTCTAGTTTTTGACTTGAGCAGTGTGGTGAGTGGCAGGACTGTTAATTGAGAGGAGGAAGCTCAGGGAAGAGACAGGTTTAGAGCTGGATGAATCAGCCATCTGCTTTGGAGCACTTACACATAGGCACAGCTTACGCCTCCCTCCCTGCCCCCCATAAAGGCTGGAGAAGTGGGTGTGGGCAGTGGAGTCAGGCCGGTGCACATCTCAGATCTGCTCCTGATGCGTTGTGTGGCCTCGTGCCACTTAGCTCCTCAGAGCCTCAGTTTCCTCTTTAAAGCGAGACTAGTAACACCTCCCAGAGCAGGATGTTTTGGATATTAGGCAACGCTTCTTTCAAGCACCCTCCCCATTCTGATGGTAGAAATTCAGTAAATGATCACAGCTGTGATTGTTGTGAGTGCTGAATGTGGCCCTGGGAGGGCAGAGACTGACTCCCTTTTATGTTTGAAGCTTCTCCAACCAGGTCATTCCAGATGTGATCAGCTTTAGGGGTGAGGGCAGATGCTCTAGAGATGATGAAGGGCACCCCACCCAGACCATATCAGGCAGGACCAGCAGCCATGTCTCCTTGTCTCTTGCTCTCCAGGGTTGCGGGGTGCCCCCTTACTTGGGTCGGGTAGGAGCAGCAGACGAGGGGCGCACAGACATGGCATACCGCGTGGTGGCTGATCACATCCGCACACTCAGCGTCTGCATCGCCGACGGTGTCTGCCCCGGAATGTCGGGTGCCCCGTGAGTCTGGCAGGGGCTGCGAGGGCGGGGGGTGGGGGGTGTTGCAGGGGAGAGGTGGGTCAGGAGGAGTGGGGGAAGGGAGAGGGCTCTGAGATGAGAGCACCCACTCTGAACCTCGTCCTCCCCACTCTCCATACTGCTGACCAAGGGTTGCAGGCGATTCTTATCTGGCTTCTGAACCCCTCTAGGTTGGTGCTTCGTCGGATCCTTCGTCGAGCTGTGCGGTTCTCTACAGAGGTGTTGCGGGCACCACCTGGCTTCCTAGGCAGCCTGGTGCCTGTAGTGGTGGAGACCCTGGTGAGGGCAGAACTTATTCTTCTGGGCTTCCCCAGGTGCTCAGGAAGCTTGCCACTGAGCCTAGACGGTGCCCTCAGCCTAGGCTCCCCACCCTAAATGGCCAGCCCCAGGTCTTGTCAGGCTGAGAAAGCCAAGACTGAATCCAAAAAGCAGGGAGCCCTCAGGAGGCCTCCCTGTCCTGGCTTCTGAGCCTCTTGAGTTTGGGACCCCCTTCTGTCCGTATTCCCTGTTTGAGTCTGCCATCCATCAGCCGGAGCTGAGCTTCCAAGGCAGGCGTCCTCAGGGAGGTCCAGGGTGGGGAGGTTGCCTTTCACACCTTCTCAGCCCTCTGCCTCCCCCAGGGAGATGCTTATCCAGAACTGCGGAAGCACTCAGCCCAGGTACTGGCTTTGGATGGGGAGGGAGGGGCCGAAAAGAGAGGGGTAGAGAGCGGCTCTCCCTTCCAGGAGGCCCAGCTCCAGTCCCGCCCTGCCCCTCTGTTCAGATAGTCAACCTGGTGTCAGAGGACGAGGCAGCCTTCCTGGCCTCCCTGCAGCGGGGTCGGCACATCATCGATCAGACCCTGAGGCGCCTGGGGCCTTCTGATTTGTTCCCTGGTGAGTGAGCAGCCTGGCCAAGGTGTGAGGGGCTCACTCAGGTGAACCAAAGCAGGAAGAGGACAGACCTCTGAGGCAGGCGTGTGCCTAGCATGCAGACCCTCCTCCCCATGTCCCTCTCCCTGCACTGTCTCCAACACCCACATCTCTCTGTGGCGGGACACCACCCTCCTTCTCCCCACTTCCCCTCTGTCCAACTGGCCCTGCCACCAGTCTCTGCTTCCCAAGGCAGGCTTCATCCCGAGAATGAGCCTCCCTTCTCCTCTGAGATGACAGATGACAAGGGAGTCTCCTGGGCTACCCTCGGCTCTGGCCTTTGAGCCTAAAGCCTGACCCCTCTCCTGGACCTACCGGGTGTGGGGAGAGGACACTTGTGCTTGGTACCTGGTGGCTGCTGTGTGGTTGGAAAAGCCCTGGCCCTTATTTCTCCCTCACTTCTTCCCCTTCAGTCTATCCTGCCCTCCCCTCTGAACACCCTTTGTCTTCCTTCTTCAAAGCTGAAGTGGCCTGGTCCTTATCGCTGTCTGGGAACCTGGGGCTCCCCCTGGACCTGGTAGAGCTGATGCTGGAGGAGAAGGGGGTGCGGCTGGACTCTGCTGGGCTGGCGCGGCTGGCCCAGGAGGAGGCCCAGGTACACGCTGGGGCACCCCTGCCCAGGCTTCTGTTGGGACAGTCCCTTCCCCAGCCCTGAGTTCCTGGGGGAGGAGCTGCAGCTATTGAGGGAAACAGGAGACAGGGTCTGTCCCCTCACCTCAGGCCCCACCCACAGCCTGTAGAGGAGAACTCTAATACAGTGGACTGAACAGAACCAGGAATGGGGAGAGGCCAGCACAGCATCCTAGAGAGGGGAACGGTGGGTGAAGGGGGCCTCATCCTGAGACCCTGCATGATGGGTGGTTCACCAGCCAACCCAGGATCTCTAGCAGCCAGCCAAGCCCCGAGGGCTTATTCCAGAGGGGCTGCAGAGTCCACACAGCTGTGTGGCAGGGGCAGGGCTCTGTGGAGGCTCAGGTCCCACTGCACTGTCCTTGTACCCCTTCCCTATGCACGCGCCCATCCTGCAGCACCGGTCACGGCAGGCCGAGCCAGCTCAGGAGCGGGGACTGCAGCTGAATGTCCACGCACTGGGGGAGCTGCAGCGCCGAGGGGTGCCCCCAACTGACGACAGTCCCAAGTACAACTACTCTCTTCGACCCAGCGGGGGTTATGGTGAGAGGCTGGACTGAGGCTGGTGGCCACAAGCGTCCCTGGCGGTTTCTGGGAGGGACAGAGGGACATCTGTGAGGGTTGCTACCAGCCCTATACATTTCATGGGGGGCGGGGGTGGGGGGGTGGGGAGGGCGGCGAGGGGGTTATAGCCACCAGGGGTCGCTGTGGCCCCTGAAAGTGCCCCTCCACCAGCTACATGCCCATTGGCTTCAAGTAAGGTACACACCAACGGCCCAGGGCCCACACCCCTGCCCAGCACTGATAACCATTCTTCTTTCTGGCAGAGTTTGGCACCTGCGAGGCGCAGGTGCTCCAGCTATATACAGAGGACGGGACAGCTGTGGCCTCTGTGGGGAAAGGCCAGCGTTGTGGCCTTCTCTTGGACAAAACCAACTTCTACGCTGAACAGGGGGGTCAGGCTTCAGACCGAGGCTACCTGGTGCGGGTGGGGCAGGAGGTGAGCCCCCATGCACAGACACACACACATACACAGACAAGTTAATTTCTGCAGAAGGCAGACCCGACCTGGGAAGGGAGCCAAGGGGAGGGAAAAGCTACAAGCAGTTGCTCCAGTGCCTTGGCCCCTGCCCTTCCCCAGGATGTACTGTTCCCAGTGCCCCGGGCCCAGGTCTCTGGAGGCTTCATCCTGCACGAGGCTGTGGCCCCTGAGGGCCTGAAGGTTGGGGACCAGGTGCAGCTACATGTAGATGAGGTAAGGCCCCAAGCCCTGATATTTAGAATATCCTGCAGCCTCTTGACTCTCCCTACCCCCCAGGATTCTGGGTGACAAAAGTGTTTCAGGCCTGGCGTCTAGGCTGCATGGAGAAGCACACGGCCACCCACCTGTTGAACTGGGCACTCCGGCAGACCCTGGGCCCCGGCACGGAGCAGCGAGGTTCCCATCTCAACCCCGAGCGGCTGCGCTTCGATGTGGCCACCCAGGTGAGGAAGACAGAAAGGCTTAAAAAGAGGTAGTTTGGTGGCTTGGGGGGGGGGGGGAGGGGAGGGGGGCGGTGGGAGGGGGAGTTTGGCCAGTCCAAGGACCTAGGCTCCGTGTCACTCAGTCACTGTGAGGCCGTGAGGGACGTCTTCATCTCGGCATCCTGCACCAGCGAGGGGTCAGGTTAGATAGCCTCTGAAGCCTCCGGCCACCCAGCTTCCTTGTTCCCGCTGTCACCCAAGACATTCTTGCTCAAGCAGAGCTGCCCTCCCTTCTCTGTCACCCTTCCTTCCTCGCACATCTAGCTCTGTCCTTGCACCTGCGTCTACCCCATCCTGTGTTTCTCTTCCATTAGGCTGGCCCTTGTGGTGAGCTCCCTCGGTACAGAACAGCATTTTCTGTTACATCAATTTTTAGTGCCTGATGAGAGGCCTGCAATTCCCAACAGCTTTCTAAGGAAAAGAACTGTCTACTCCACAAAGGTTGATTGAGCACCTGCTCGGTGCTAGCCACTGTTTGAGAACCTGAGGAGAGTCAGTGAACACGGACTGCTTCTTACTGCTTTGGTTACAGGCACGCAGCTAACTGCCTGTCGGTCTATCCATTTCCCCCTACCCCACCAGGCTCCACTGACCCCAGAGCAGCTCCGGGCAGTGGAGGGCACGGTGCAGGAGGCCGTGGGGCAGGATGAGGCCGTGTACATGGAGGAGGTGGCCCTGGCACGCACCGCCCATGTCCCTGGCCTGCGCTTTCTGGATGAGGTGAGTTGGGGAGGCCCCTTGGTGAGACTGCCTGCCCCTCACGGGCTGGTGAACAGACTGGTCCCCTCTCCTCCTCAGGTATACCCAGACCCTGTGCGGGTGGTGTCAGTGGGGGTGCCCGTGGCCGAGGCGCTGGACCTCGCCTCTCAGGCTGTGCTGCAGACCTCTGTGGAGCTGTGCTGTGGGACGTGAGTCACTCCTTTCGGCCTGCCCCAGCCCGGGGCCTGAGATCCTCACCCTTCTTTGGTCTTTGGAGCCACCAGCCCCCGGGTTGGAGCTTAGGTTGCTCCTTTCCGTCCCACCATGCCCCTTGACTTCCTTCTCCCTCCCTCTGCCTATAGGCACCTGCTGCGCACAGGGGCTGTAGGGGACCTGGTCATCGTTGGGGAGCGCCAGCTCTCCAGGGGCACCACCCGCCTGCTGGCCGTCACCGGGGAGCAGGCCCAGCAGGTTGGCACACCGGCAGGGTCCAGGAGGCCACCGGATTTTGGTGGGGGGGGGGGGGGGGGGGGAGGGAGCACACATGGCCGAAACTCTCAGGCCGGGGAATGCCCAGCAGCAGAACCAGTGTTGGTACATGTGCGCTGCCAACAGCTGGCATCTGTTGTGATTATTTGGTGCCTTGACTGGGCCTCATTGTTCAGTATTTCTGTCTTGGCCCTGACTAGCAGTGGGTTGAGAGCCCCCCTGTCCTGGGGAGGTGACAGCAAGCCGAGCAGCCCTGAGCATCCCGTTCCCTCCTGGCAGGCCCGAGAGGTGGGCCAGGCTCTGGCCCAGGAGGTAGGAGCCGCGGCAGAACGGCTGAGTCGGGGCAGCCAGGATGTGGTGGAGGCTCAGCGACTATCCAAGGACATGGGACGACTCACTGATGTGAGGGTCACTGCTGCCGCAGAGCTGTTCCCCACTCTCTCCTGGCCCTCTTCCCCATGCCTCGGTCTCTCCCCCAATTCCTCTGGGACTCCTGCTGGCCTAGATATTTGTTGTTTGTCTGCAGGGTGGGATGTGGTGGGTGTGATCTCTTCCCTTGCTCTGCTGGCTCCCGGCTCCGAGACTGGGAGGGGCGCGGCTGATGTACTGTTTGTGGCCTTAGGCTGTGGACACTGCGGTGATGCCCCAGTGGCAGCGGCGGGAGCTGCAGGCCACGCTGAAGGTGCTGCAGCGACGTGCCAACACTGCCATCCGGAAGCTAGAAACGGGGCAGGTGAGAGGAGGTTCGGCTGTACCCACGGGGGCAGGTACCCAGCACACTTGGCGAGGGGCAGAGGCACTCCAGCATGCACACGGAGAAGCTTCGCGACCTGGCACGGGGCCTGACGCAGGGGGTGGGGTGCAGCTCCTGTCTCTCCTGCCAGCTGGGTGCCATCACCAGGCCATTTCCCCCACTTCTTTCTCTGCCAAACCGTGTCTGTCCTTCAACTCCCAAGTCTGGCTCAGACTCGCCCTCTAGGAAGGAAGCTGACTGACTTGATTACGCCTTTCAGCCCCCAGTGCCACTTGACCGTGGATCTGCCTTCCTCCCACCCCCTTTCATCCATCTGTGCTCCAGCCTTAGTCCTTCACCTTCAGTGGCCTATTTGTAGGGGCCTGGAGCTGTGGTGAAAGGGACGAGGTGAGGGACGAGAGGAAGGACACAGGCCATTTGAGGCAGAGCCCCTGGCACCTCTCCTCCAAGCCAAAGACCTTTGCTGGCGGAGGGGATTTCTGGACGGGGGCTCGGTTCGGAAGTGGGGCCCGGCTGCCTTCCACCCTGATCCCTGTGCCGTCCTTCCTGCCCCGCAGGCTGCACAGAAAACCCAGGAGCTGCTGCGGCGGCATTCAGAGGGGCCCCTGATTGTGGACACAGTCTCCACTGAGTCCCTCTCCGTGAGTGTGGGGGCTGGGGGTGGCCCCAGGGTCTGGGGAGGGGAAGGTCCTGGCTGGGAGGTAGCTGGGAGTCCAGAGAGCTGTGGGCTCACTGTCTCCCCTTCCCTGCCCAGGTGCTGGTGAAGGTGGTACGGCAGCTGTGTGAGCGGGCGCCTCGCACGTCTGTGCTACTGCTCAGCCCCCAGCCGCTGGGGCACGTGTTGTGTGCCTGTCAGGTGGCCCAGGTGAGGGAAGGAGGAGAGAAGCCCCACCCACCCATCCTGGTCCAGCTCTCCGGTTGCATACCTTTGATTCCTCCAAGGCTGGGTAGAGGTGATCTAGGAGGACACCCCAGGACGGGGACAGGGCCGTCTCCTCCCTAACCACAGCCCCCCACCAGAGAAGGCACCGTGGTGGTCCCTAATTATGACCATCCAGGCCACACATCCCTTGCAAACAAGTAGCAGACATTCAGTAACCTCCACACACTTTCCCAGCCCCATGCTCTCCTGTCTCCTGACTAATCACTGTGATGCCACTCTCAAAGGGTAGATGGAGTGAGCACTGGTGGGGAGGGCTGCTCTGCATCACTGCCCGTTCTCTCTTGGTTCAGGGTACCACACCAGCCTTCACAGCAGAGGCCTGGGCACTGGCGGTATGCAGCCACATGGGGGGCAAGGCCTGGGGCTCTCAAGTGGTGGCTCAGGGCACCGGAACGACGGCTGACCTGGAAGCTGCCCTCAGGACAGCCCGAGCCTACGCCCTCAACCAGCTCTGAGCCGGGCTCGCCAGGGACTCACATAGACTGGACAGACTGCCGACGGGCCAGTGCCAGGAACCCTTGAAGGAGCCAGCAGAACCTCCCCGGAGGCTGAAGCAAAGGACTAAAGACTGGAGGCCAAGCAGCTGAGCCCTAGGGGGCTGCCTTGGGCCAGGCCCCGTGAGGACACGAGGAGTTGGGGTTCTGGAAGGCAGAAGTGGGCCCAGAGACACACCCCCACTGGATGAATGTGAAGCCATGGACTGTCTTGGCTGTGAGTGCTCATCAACAAGTATTTCACTGCAGCCAGGAATTTCCAGAAGTTCTTCTGCTTAAAAAAGAACAGCTTTCCCCTCCCAGCAACCTGGTAAGGGTGCTCTATCACCCGGCTGATCCCTCACACTGGATCAAACAGTCACCCATCATCCAAATCAGAACCATCCTCCTCGCCACGGGTGTTTAACAAGTTTTCCGTGCCAGCCTGGGCACCCACAAAGGCCTCGCTGGCCACCAAGATCCAGAACTGTCTTATGAAAGTCATTACAGGAGGGCACACCCTCTCTGGTGTCACTTGTGTCATTAACAGTGACTTCACATTTTAGCAAAGGCCCTGGTGATTTGTTGAGAAAATGCGCAGCAGGCCCTGGTCGGTTGCTGAGAATGTGGTGAGAGCCAAAGGGACAACTTCCTGCACTTGCGGAGCTTCTGTCTAGTAGCGAGATACGCGATAAAGAGAAGGAAGAGGATGTAAGGCAGTGATGAGGTCTGCAGAGAAAGAGGGACAGGGATCAGGAGGGTGGGGGTGACTGCTGTTTCCCCCGGAGGTGGCATCTGAGGGGAGGGTATGAGCCACGAGGGTCTCTGAGGGAAGAGCGCTCCAGGCTGAGGACTTCAGCCAGTTCAGGGGCCCTGAGGGGGAGCTGAGCAGACACCATGAGCTGGGAGAGTGGCAGGTGATGGGGTCTGTAGAGAGCAGGGGCCAGAGCACCTGCCCCTGAGCCTGAGCTGAAGCTGAGAACCGGCCGCTCAGAGCAGGAGGAAGCCCTGCTTCCCTAACAGAATGAATCCACTCAGGGCCAAGCCAGAGTTCTACCTCTGTTCCCAAATCTCTGCTGCTGGATGAAGGAAAGGACCTCAGGGGGCCCATCTTCAAGTCAAAGGCTCCCTGGTGACTGAGTTCTAGGGCCATTTAGTTAAAATTATTAGCGCAGAGCGCTGCTTCCTGCATGATCTCTCATTCTAATTGCGGCCCTGGTGAGAGGGCTTGCAAAGGACCGGTTCCTGCCCAGGATCCCGGGATTCCGCTGAGCTCTGACCGCTTTCAGCACTGCGGAGTGGCAAAGCTTTACCTCCGCCTCTCGTAGCCACCCTTCGGCGGTGCTCACTGAAGGCCCGGCTGTCTACGCGTGCACATCAGGGTGAGGGAGTCATGGCACGGTTTTATGATGGATTAACTGAGCTTCTAAGATGTTAACTTACCCATGGTAACACACTAGGAATCGTGACACCTGAAAGTCAAAGCTAAGCCACCTCCGTGTGAAACTTCCCACCATCCTGGTTGCCTTTCCCCTCCTGAAGGAGTTTTTCTTACTAGCCAGTCCCCTGAAGTTGGTCATTCCTGCCCATCAGAAGCACCACATCCTGTCACCCAGGGCTGGGGGGGGGGCAGGGAGAGGGGGCGGGGTGGCGATATAAAGTTTAGGACTGCGTGAAGGAGCGCTGTGGAGACCTGGAACCTTACTGTCTGGTGCCCTCCAGTAACCCCTGCTGGCGCCCTTCCACCTCCACATCTTCCAGGAGAGACTGCTGGTGCGTTTCCCGAACTGTCTTTCCACTCGCCACCCCGTGCCCCTATTTTCACACAAAAGGTACCAAGAAGGAACAGCACTACAGGAGCCCTGCCCTGGCCCCCACGCCTCATCTTACCCCCAAGAAAAGCCCACCTATTCCTAAACATGTCCCCCAGATGCACAGAGCACGCCCCACTGTCAGAGCGCCCACTACCCACTGTGCACCGCCGAGACTCGGCGCGCGGGCGGGTGTTCTCGCGCACATGCGCACCAGCCCTCGTGCCCGCCCCCTGGCGACACGGGGCGTCCCTAACGACCGGAGCCGGCCGCGCGGGGGGCCTGCAGGGAAGCGAGCACCCGGACACCGAGAGTGGGTGAGGTGAGCCCCAGAAGAGAGAACGCTCAACCCCGGGTCTCCCTTATGGGGCTGAACTCTCAAGCCAACCCCCACTCCCACCCAGCTGAGGTTGGCTTGACTCCGGGCGGGTCTGTACCCACAGGAAGCTCCCCACCCATTTGAAGCCTGACCCTTGCCCTCTCCGCTACAGTCACGGTCTGCGAGTAAGGGGGTGCGGGGGTGGGGGTGGGGCACCGCGAGAAGGAGGAAGGGGAAAGTGGGGCATCGGGCAGGCGGTGGAGGAGAGCAGTCCTGAGCTCCAGGCCGCAGTCGTCTCAGAAAGGTTGACCCCCATCCCAGCTCCTGCTGATTGCAGTCCCTCCTGCAGGTCCAGAAACTTCGGCACCTCCCTCCCTCCCTCCCACAGCATGGTTGGTTTCCCTTGGTTACCAAGGAGCTACCAGGGCCTCTGCACCCCAGGCAGGTTGGGGGAGGGACTCGCTGGCCTTTGGAGCTAAGCTTCCCTGCTGGGGTGTCTGAGCCCCAGGCAGGAGTGAGGGGTGGGGAGCGAATACTCTGGAGTCCTTTTTAAGACCACAGACCAAGTGGTCAGGAGTTGGGAGGAGGGCCAGGCCCGGGGATGTGAACAGTGTGCTGTCTCACTGGGGCCAACATCAAGCATGCTGGGCTGGGCTCTGTCAGAGAGACTGTTGTCCCTCTTTCGTGGTTTCACAGACTGGGAATTCCCAAGTAGGAATTTGGGAGTGATCAAACAGGGGGACAAAAGACATCAGGGGGAGTAAGACAAAGGGCCCATTCAGGGCCTGAGGATAGGTGCCAGGGGAGGGTTCTCCCTGGGGATCCTAAGGTGAAGGAGAAGCTAGCCAAGAAGGTAGAAGCAAGGTGGGGGAGGCGGCTGGAGGGGGCGGGGTGTAGCCCATCAGGCCAAGCCAGCCCAGAGGGTTGTGTCCCTGGGCATAGAGGTGCTTGGCGCCTCAGTCAAGAGGAAAGTAGGTGAGAACAAGGACCGGGGATGTGATGAGCAGGAAGGGGTGAGAGCTCCCCCCCAACCTCTTCAACTTTCCCATTTGGGCAACGGGAAGAAGCCTCTGCCCACGGTGATTATATTTAACTGGGGACTTGAGAAGAATGGAGAAGGTCTGGGACCTCTGAGGAGGAAACATGCCGGAGGCTCAGACTCTGAATCCTACCTAGGTCTGTGACAAGGGCCCTGCATGAGCCATGGGGCAGGAGAGCAGAGCTCCGCGGGATCTTCTGGGGTCCCCAGAAGGCCTCGTGCTGAAGGCCACAGGCGATGGCCCAGGTCTGTGGAAGGGCCCCGTGTCTGGCAGTGATTTAGGAGGTGAGGGAGCCTGGGCTGTTTAGGCCAGCATCCAAAGGGTGACCCCGGGCTTCACACTGGTGACATGACAAGAGATCATGAGCTGGAGAAAGCGGGAGGCCCGCTGGAAAAGCGCTGTGAACAACCAAGTCTGGGCGACTTAGGAAGGAACCTAAGTCCTTAGGAAGGACCATTGTTGGTCTGTGCTTTTGTGCCTGGAAGTGACAGACAGCTTTGGATGGAGAGCAGCTCAAACCTTAGCGTCTCCACTTACTAGCTGCGTGACGCTTTGCAGGTTACTTACACTTTCCAAGCCTGTGTCCTCATTTGTGCAAGGAGATAATAGTGTCATAATAACAATAATAATCCTCAATAGTAAATTTGAAGATTTGCTTTTTATTTTCATTTATTTTGAGAGAGAGAGAGCATGAGCAAGGGAGGGGCAGAGAGAGAGGGACAGAGAGATAATCGGGGCTGCACTGTCAGCACAGAGCCCGACGTGGGGCTCTGTCTCACGAACCGTGAGATCATGACCTGAGCCTAAACCAAAAGTCAAACGTTTAACCAACTGAACCACCCAGGTGCCCCTAAATTTAAAGACCTAATAAACATATGTAGGCAAGGCATGTAACATCTTCATCACAATATCTAACACATATTTTGAATGCTGGCTCTGGGCCCAGCATGACATGAAATGTCTCACCCACATCAGCTCCTTTAATCTTCTGGATAATCCTGGGAAGTGGATCCCATTAATTACCATCCCCATTTTACAGATAAAGAAATAGGGGGCTTAGTGGGGTGAAATGACTTGCCCAAGGTCTCACAGATGCTGGGGGGCAGAGTGGAGATTGGCCCTAAGGTAACGTAATGCCTGAGTCCTTAGCCAGCTGCTTCCTGCTGGGAGAGCTTTGAGAGGCCCAAACTCAATAAATCATAGCTGTGTGTAGGCAAGGATATAGTTCCCAGAACATTGACCACCAGGCGCAAGCCATCAAAAATGAGGATAAGCTGGCCAAGCTGGAGCATGTTGTCCCTTTATGTTGCTTGTGCTTGGGCGCATAGAGGGTGGACCCTAACACCTAACCCTCTGATTCTGGCCTGAGTGGGATTTCAGGACCCTGGACCCTGATAGTAAGGACACAGGGTGGGGACGTGGTTGGAAGAGGATTGGCCTTTCTGCAGGGACTGTGGTTCTGTGTTGGGTTAGGGTGATGCTGGCAAAACAGCCCAACAGGCCTGTAAGACAGGTGCCAGGAGATGAAAGGTCACTGGACATGTTCCCACTTTCCCCAGTCGAGCATAAGGTGTGCCTTAGATAGGGACACCAGGTGGTGGCACAAGAGGTGATCACCCCCTCGCCCCAACCTTCTCTCTGGAATGTCAGAAAAGATTCTTGCCCCGGAGAAGGATCAGACTCTTAAACCTGCTTCCAGTCTTCAAACTCTGGGATTCTCTGTTTGCCCCGAAGGTTCCCGAGGGGGACAAAGCTCCAGAAAGGAAAGTGACTGCCACTTCTGGGGCTGCCCTTCTTGGGCTCTTGGGAGCTGTCAGGATACCCCTGGGCCCCTAGCTAATGGGTGTCTATCCACCCCCCAGGCTTCCAGGAAAGATACCCGCAGCTGCAGACTGGTGATGCCTAGGCCAGACTAAGGTCACCCAGTGAGGTAGGTAGACTTGCCTCAGGTCTTCTGACTTACTCTCCTGTGGGCCCCTCCCCACCTTCCCCCCACTCAGTGGTGTGCCCTCCTTGCCCACCTTCCTAACTTGGCATTTTGGATCTGAAACTCGTTCACACTGAGATGTGGGGGGTTGATAAGTAGGTCAAGTTGCTGATGCCTGGAGAGATGAGAGGTGAGGCTGGAGGCCAGGGGTGGTCAGGATAGGAAGAGGCCCCAGGAGTTAGATGCCGAGCCCTGTGTATAATGAATCCAGGGCCTCTGGCCCTGATTCTCAGACACCCCATCGAACCATTTCATCTCCTGATTTAGGATTTCTTTCCATTTCATTCACCAAATTGTGAGCCGACCCAAATGGTTGGGACCCTTTGGTCACAAAGGGGCAGAAACCGAACTCAGCTTTAGCAAAAGGGACCTGTTAGAAAGGCTGCCAAAGAGGTCTCAGAACCAGAGGAAGTGCAGTTCTGGGGGCCTCGGGGTCTCAGACTGGGGACTGAAGGTACCGGGTGCTCTGTCCACCTCTCATTCCTGCTGGTCTCTCCCAGGCTTCATCCCCTCCTGCAGCAGGCAGGTTTCCACGCGAAGGCGAATAGCCTCCAGCAGCGGGGGATCAGTAGCCTTACGTCTTGGTCTACCTCCGCTGCTCCAACAAATCCCAAGAAGGACTCTGATTGGCTTGCATCAGGTGGCCACCCCTGAGCCAAGCACCCTGGCCAATATGGGGCACTCCTATTGGCCAGGATCTGTTCTCAGAAGGGGGTGGGGCAGCTCAGAACACCAGCTACCTCCTGTAGAGCAGACCCACCACGGGCCAGGGATTAGGGAGAAAAAGGAGTCCAGAACAGTCCCTGCACCTCAGGGAGCTCACAGTCTACCGTGGGTGTGGGGAGAGGGTGATCAATCAGGCCACTGAAGTGACACCAGCACAAGGTCTGATAGAGGGAGAGGGTACTTGGGGGGTGGGGACCAGAAAGGATGGAAGGCTTCAGAAAGGAAGTGGTAGGGAAACTCAGGCTCGAAAGATCAAGGACGCTCCGTTCCCCAGGCTGAGACAGTGGGAAAGGCGTTCCAGGCAGAGAGAGAACCGCTGGAGCAAAGGCTGGGCAGCGTGAACTAGCCTGCAGAGCTCCAGATGCAAAGCGAGCTTATTTCCAACAACATATCTGGTCACGGAGGGCCTTCTCCACTGAGCTGAGGAAGCCGGGCTGTGGCCAGTGGGCAGTGGCCAGCGAGTGGCGGTGGCAGCTGTGGGAAGGCTAGTGGTGAGGACCGCGCTGGCTGCCATCCCCAGGTGCTGGGCAGTTACCACCGGGATCCAGGCCGGCAGGGAGGCCCCGAGCTAAAGCAACAGCATTCAGGGAGGGGAGGGCCGCAGGGGTGGGAGGTAGAACTGGAGGGCGCCAACAGTAACCAGACATGGAGGGGCGGTGCCCCTGGCCAGGGGAAGGAGAGGCTTGGGGGAGGCTCTGAGTTCTCTGGGTGCAGACTCAGTTGGAGGGAGGTGAAAGGCAGCTGGTAGGCCTGAGTCTGGAACTCAGAGGAAAGGTAAGAGTTGCAACCATCTATAGGAGCCATGCAGGGTCGCAGGGAGGTGGGTAAGAGTGAGGGGAGTCTGCAATGGAGACCTCGAGAATGATCGGAGAGGCGGGAGGGGAGACGAGAGAGTGGCGGCCTCACAGTGGGGGAGAAGGGCAGGCAGGGGTCAGGTGTACCGCCTGCCAGGGAGGATCCCTGCTTTCTATCATCTTTTTTCTTTTTTTTTTAAGTTTGTATCTAAATTCCAATTCGCTAATATAGGATGGTTACCAGAGGGGAGGTGGATGGTTTACACAGGCGATGGGGAGCCAGGCGTGCACTGGCTGTGATGAGCACAGGGTGTGGTATGGAAGTGTCCCATCGCCACAGTGGGTACCTGAAGCTAATATTACACTGCGTGTTAATTAACCGGAATTGAAACGAAAACTTCTTCAACAAGAAAAGGGGCGCCTGGGTGGCTCAGTGAGTAGAGCATCTGACTCTTACTTTGGCTCAGGTCATGATCCCAGGGTCGTAGGATTGAGCCTCATGCTAAGCATGGAGCTCAAGATTCTCTCTCTCTCTCTCTCTCTCTCCCTCTCCCTCTGCCCCTCTCCCCCGCTTGTGCACTTCCTCTCTCTAAAAAAAAAAAAAAGAAGAAAGAATCCTCTGTGTCTAGTCATCATTTGCTTCCCCCAAATATTTTTGTAATATCTACTTTTTCAAAAATCAATTAAGTGAATATGATCAACTCCTACCTTATTGTATGAGGTTAATGGCTTCAACATTTGCCTTACAAATGACACCAGCCCTGGTGGTTTGGAGGTTTCTATGAAACATCACAGGACAAAAGGGGGTCTTTTTGATGCCAGCCCTGTACCTGGGGCACATGGAAGGATGCTTTGCCTCTTCCTTCTGTGTCGCGGCCGGCGCGACAAACACCGAGGTCAGGGTCCTGAGGGTAGGGGAATGCAAGAAAAAAAGAGAGAAGAGAAAGTTTGGGAACAGGAGGGTCCCCTGGGCTGATGGCCCAAGTGACGACTTTATTGTTGCTGTACACAATCTTTTATAACCAGACTCTTATGGGTTAGGTCATTCTAAGAATAAACAGGTTTCACATAATCGCTGCCCACCAAAACATTTAGTTCTGTGTTTCTTGTGCATTTTCTAGATGGGTCACAAGACCTTGTTGATAAGATTGCTAGCAAAACACAATTCCCATGTTTGTTTCTATCTGACTCGGGGTAGAAAAAGGAAGGTAGCATTACTGCCAACACCTGCAGACCACAGTCTTCAGGAATTAACTTTCTCAGCCTTGACAAGGCTTTCGTATGCCCTTGAAAGTGGGGGAATGGGAGGGGGAACCACCGGGTTGGCTGAGTCAACAGGGAACGTTGCTCGACCCGGTCTCAGCCTGGCGCCGGGGCCTGGCCCCCCACACTTCTGAAGAGGTGGCTCAGGGCGCTGGAACCCACCCTGGGGTGGGTCCTACAGTGTCACGCCCAGAGGTGGCTGCAGGCTCCAAACAGCAGCAAGAAAGATGAGGACCAGACTCAGGAAGAAATGTCAGGGCCTCAGACAGTGAGGCACCAGGCAGTGAAACCAGCGCCAGCCCGGCCCCAGGTGGGGTTTCCCCACATGTGGCCTCCCAGGAGGAAGGAGAGGGAACAGCCTGCCTGGGTGGTGAGGCCGGCAGTGTCGTGAGAAATACCTAGAGAGTCGGCTCCGGGGCAACACCGGCCAGAAACCCGGGCTCCCCCTGCCCAGCTGGATCCTGCTTTCTTGGGCCTGACCCGCAGGGTGTCTTGGGATTGCATCTGGGACCAAAGGGAATACGGAATGTTTTAGGCCAGAACTCTGGAGGGAACTTTTGGAGGGAGCCCCAGGAGCCCAGACGTGGAGCTGACAGGAGCAGGGCTGGCCTGTTGTCTCTTTTCTCCTGGTCTGCCAGGCCCCTCCATCCTTTCCAGCCCCAAACACCACCACTGCCACCTTGCCCTCCGCCTCTCCCCTGGAGATAGGGAAGGACCTTATCCAAGGATACCATCTCAGGTCGGCGCTCGAGAGGCAGGGTTCCCCTGTGTCCCCTGCCCAAGACCCTCCCCCTCCGTAGTGTCTTCATCCTCCACACGCCAACCCCCCCAAGTACTCTTTTCAAATATTATCTCAGAGGAATCTCCATGACCGCCTGCATAAGGAAAATATCATTATCCTGTTTTACAGATAAGGAAATGGAAACTCAGGTTAAGTATGTTGGCCAAGGTCACACAGCAAGTCACTGGCAAAGCCAGAAATGCAAAGTCATCTGGCACCTCTAAGCAGCATCCCCTCCCAGCCACACCCTCTGAGGGGCTATTAGTCAAATGCACCAGCTGGTTATTCCGCAGATCTGGACACAATCTGTTTGTGAACTTGCATTTGATTTGCATAAGGATTTCACAAATACAAAGATACCTTTCCTATGCTGCCCCTTGCCTCCTTCTCTGTCTCTGTCTCTCTCTGTCTTTCTCTCTCTCTCTCTCTCTCTCTCTCTCTCTCTCTCTCTCTCTCACACACACACACACACACACACACACACACACACACACACACACACACTCAGCCAGGCTCTTCCTCCTCCTTGAGATGCCTGGTGGACTGGGGAGTACCATCTGGTCCCCTCCATCTGTCAAGGACACCTTTGCTGGTTCAGAGTGTTCCTTCCCACTGGCCACGACACAGTACACCCGAGTCAGGGAGCAAATCTGAAGGGAAACAGCCCGGAGGAGGAGCTAGGTGCGAGCAGCCCCATTTCCGCCTGCAGTCTCAGGGCGAGGCCACCTGCAGCAAGGAGGCAGGAATGGACAAACTCGGAGGAGGGTCCCCAGCCCCAGATCCATCCTCTGTCTTCTGTCTTCAGCCCCAGATTTAGCTGCCTTTTCGCCTCCCACGCCTTCCCCGCTGCCGTCTGGAAAGCCGGGAGGCTGGGAGAACTAGGAAGACTGGATCAGGAGGTTGGGGGTGGGGTGTGGAGCCAGAGTCCTCGCAGAAGAAGCAGGGAAGGTACTGGCACCCTGGACAGAGCACGGGTCTGGTTCCCCCTTCCTTCCTCTCAGCCTACGCTATCCAAGACAGTAGCCAGTAGCCAGTAGCCACGTGTGGCTCTTGAGCCATCAGATTTGGAAGGCTTAGTATGAAAAACACGTATATAAAATATCTCATTAATAATTGTCATATTGATTACATATTCAGTGATAATATTTCGGACATATTGGGTTAAACATAAAATTAATTTCACCCATTTCTCTTTTTTTTTTTACAAGTTTATTTATTTATTTTTGATCAGGCAGTTGCTTTTCTGTGAAATACTTAACCCCAGGAGCTGTGGGGGTTTTTTTTTCAATTTTTTTCTTAATGTTTATTTATTTTTGAGAGACAGAGAAAGAGAACGAGCAGGGGAGGAACAGAGAGAAAGGGAGACACAGAATCTGAACCAGGCTCCAGGCTCTGAGCTGTCAGCACAAAGCCTGACACGGGGCTCGAACCCACGCACCGTGAGATCATGACCTGAGCTTCTGACTTTGGTTCAGGTCATGATTTCATGGTTTGTGAGTTCAAGCCCCACATCAGGCTTGCTGCTCTCAGTGCAGAGCCCTCTTCAGATCCTCTGTCTCCCTCTCTCTGCCCCCCCCCCCCCCGGCTTGCACTCTCTCAAAAATAAATTAAAACAAAATTTTTTTAAGTATGAACTTGATAGACTGAGTTGAAATCCACCCTTGTTATTTATAAGCTGTGTGACATGGGGCAAGTCAAGGAACCTCTCTGTTTCAGGTTCACAGCAGAAAACACAGGAAAAATATGAATGCCTATCCCCAAAAGGCTTTTGTGAGGATCAAATGAGTTAAGATGCCTAAAGAACTTTTTAAAAAAAGTGTCCAACATATATCAATTGCTTACAATTGTTGTGTAGGTATTATTATCCACAATGAGGGCCTGCTCCTTGCTGCAGACAGGATACTATGCCTCTTTGGATGCATTAATTTATTCACTTCTCCCCCTCCTCTTCCCGGTGACTGTTATCCTCACTTCATAGAGGAGCCACATGAGACTATAAGAGATTCAGTCACTCACCCAGAGCCACATAGCTAGTCGGCGGGATTTGTGCCTGGTTCTGCTCTACTCCAGAGATGGACCCTTAAGAACCACTCTGTGCTGCCCTCTTGCGAAATGCCCACCGAGGTCCTCCAGAGTTAACACCTCTACCCCTCCCCTCCCTCCAGGTTCCCATGGGCATCGAGGGCCTGCCGGTCTGAGAGCCTCCCCGTCACAAGGCCATCACCAAGGGGCCACCTGCGCCCACGCTGCCAATGCAGAGCATGCAGGCAACTCTAGGCACACCGACCTCGTCGGCCCTCAGCCGGTTCTCCACCTCCACCCAGGACAAGTCCTCCACTGCAGGTCAGACCTCCAGCACAGGCCCACAGCCCTCAAGGCCCTCCATCATCCCACCCCCTAGCAAGTCCAAGGGCTGGAGTACTGGGGCCGGTGGAGGTCGCATGCGCAGGATCATCGCTGAGGATCCTGAGTGGTCGCTGGCCATCGTGCCCCTCCTCACAGAGCTCTGCATTCAGCACATTGTCGAGAACTTCCAGAGTGAGTCTGTCCCTGCAGTTGGGCGGGGAGGGAAAGGCTCCGAGTGGGGCGGGGTGGGTGGGGACCTCCTGGAGGCGAGGCCTGAGCAGCTGGGGCCTGGGACAGCCCCTGCCCTCCCACACCGTGTCCTCATCCCCCACTCAACACTGCCCTTCCTTCCCAGGGCCAGAGCGACCAGATTCCCACCCGCACCGTTCCCTCCGTGTCTATGCCGTCCCCTCACCTTTCCCACTCTCTCCAGCAAAACCCAGCCCGAACCATATCTACTGAACTCCTCCTCCAGAAAGCCCTCCCTGGTTGACTATCCTCCACACTCTCCTTCCACAGCGTGTATAGGTTCTTAGTTTGTTCTGTACTCGATGCTCTGTAAACGTTCATCCTTTTAAAGATGAGTTGCCAGCCTCCCCTACTGGATGGGGAGCCCTCCGAGGACAGGGCCGTCATTCTATCTACAGCACCTATTGCCACCCGACCTACAATATTTTCGCTGGACTCTTTTACTGTCTGCCTCGTCTCCTAAGAGGGAGTGGCTTCCTCTGTTCTGTTCACTCTTGTATCCTCAGCACTTAGAACAGCGTCTGGTGCACAAGACATGCTCAGAAAGTTTTTTGTTTTGAAATGAACGAATCAAATCATTTTGGAGTCTGTGAACTCAGGATTATCTCCTCCGTCAGACTAGGTGATCACTGAGGGCCAGTCCTGAGATTCTGGCTCAGACTAGGGGCTCCCAGAAACCAGATACTAAGGCATCCAGGCTCAGGCAGGGAACACCCCGAAGTCAAGGGCTGTGTCTCCTCCCTCACACTGGGCATCCCTGACAGTAAAGGCTGTCTCCCTTCTCAGACTGGGGCTCCCCGAGGGCCGGGGAGGGTCTTCCGTTTCTTCAGGGCCCCCAGGTAGGCCCAGCCCCAGGGCACCGTGCGGTGGCGTCCCCCCACACGGTGACTCCTGCTTTCCTTCCTGTCCCCAAAGACAACCCTATCCTGCAGCAGCTGCTTCCGGAGCACAAGCAGAAGGTCCTGGACCACTTGTCACCCGACCTGCCGCTGGCTGTGACCGCCAACCTGATCGACGACGAGAGCTACTGGCGCCGCTGCTGCACGCAGCGCTGGCCCGTGTGCCACGTGGCCAAGCACGGCGGCAGCTGGAAGCGCTTGTTCTTCGAGCGGCACCTGGAGAACCTGCTAAAGCACTTCATCCCCAGCACCACGGACCCCGCGCTGATCCTCGACCTGCTGCCGCTCTGCAGGAACTATGTGCGCAGGCTCCGTGTGGATCAGTTCCTTCCGCCCATGAAGCTCCCGCCCCGACCCCGGAGCGGGGAACTGTCCGACTCCGGCAGCGAGGCAGAGGTGGAGGAGCCCGCCCCTGACCACTACCAACTGGGAGACCTGGTGGCCGGCCTGAGCCACCTGGAGGAGCTGGACCTGGTGTACGGGGTCAAGGACTGCGGCATGAACTTCGAGTGGAACCTCTTCCTCTTCACCTATCGCGACTGCCACTCCCTGGCGGCCACCATCAAGGCATGCCACACCCTCAAGGTACCTCCGGGCCTTCCCCCACCTCCCATTCTCTGCGCCTCTTGGATTCCCTCTCCTCTCCCCGTGTTCCTCCTCCTCCCCCATCGCCATCTTCCCCCTCCCATTTCCTTCTCATTCGCCGACCAAGTGTCCTTTTATGCACCGGCACCAAGCTGCGTTCTGCGGATGCAGAGATGAGCAAGGCACAGTCCTCCCAGCTCACTGGCCATTTATTCATCCGGGGAACAGCTGCACCCCAGGCCCTGTCCTAGGTGCTAAAGATTCGACAGTGAGCAAAATTATGCGTTTGTGCCCTCTGGAGCTAACAGTCTGGTGGGATAAAGGGCTCTAATCAGCAATCACGTAAACATACAATTACAACCAGGAGAGGATCGCTAGGTTTAGCAAATAAAAATACAGGACACCTGGTTAAATTTGAAATTCAAATACACAACGAATAATTTTTTAGTAAAGTAGGTCCCAAATATTCTGGTTGCAAGAGGGAAAGCCTGCCAAAAAGTCAGAGAAAGAGGGAAAGGGGGACGTGGCCTTGAGTCGCAGACACAAGGGAGGGGGTGTGTGTCAAGAAAAGGGGCAGGCAGCAATGGGGGGCGGGGGCGACGATGAGGACCAGATTTAGCAAACTCGGAGGTCACAGAGCTGGAACTGTCAGTGGAGTGCTAGGAACAGGGGCCAGATCGGAGTGACTTACAGAGAGAGTGGGAAGTGAGGAAACCGGATGGCTGTGATCAGCTTTTTCAAGAACTTGGCTGTGAAGGGGGTGAAGGGGAAATTGGTAATAGATGAAAGGTTTGAGTTTTCCTAAAAAGAAACTTGCTTGCATTTAAAACCAATGTGTGGGGGGGGGGGGGGGCCCCTGGGTGGCTCAGTCGGTTGGGCGTCTGACTTCAGCTCAGGTCATGATCTCACACTCCGTGAGTTCAAGTCCCACCCACATCGGGCTCTGTGCTGACAGCTCAGAGCCTGGAGCCTGCTTCGTTCGGATTCTGCATCTTCCTCTCTCTCTGCCCCTGCCCTGCGCTCTCTCTCTCTCTCTCAAAAATAATGAATAAACATTTTTAAAAAATTAAAAAAAATTTTCTAAAATAAAATAAAATAAAATGAAATGAAACCAATGTGGGGGCACCTGGGTGGCTCAGTCCGTTAAGTGTCTGACTGTTGATTTCAGCTTAGGTCATGATCTCACCATTTGTGAGATCGAGCCCCGCATCGGCTTCTGTGCTGAGCGTGGAGCCTAGTGGAGACACTCTCTCTCTCTCTCTCTCTCTCTCTCTCTCTCTCTCTCTCTTTCTGCCCCTCCCCAACTCGTTGTCTCAAAATAAATAAATAAATAAATAAATAAATAAATAAATAAATAAATAAATAACTCCAACGTAAAGCTCCATCCAATAGCAAGAAAGCAGTTGAGAAAGCCACAGGTTCATTGACCAAGGAAGGTTCCTGAGAAGGCAAGACGAGTGGAGTCGAGGACCGAGTGGGACGGTTGGCTCTGGGCAGAGGAGAGAGTGGATATGGTGGGTAGCAGTGGATTTGTGTTTGGTATTAGGAAAGCGATGGGTTCCCATTCAATGGCTGGGGAGGCGGGGGGAGACTTGCCTGTAGAGTGGCCCCCTGAAGGGTGAGGAGGCTGGAGAAGGTTGACATCGTTTTTACAGAGTACGAGAGAGTGTGTTGTCCGGAGAAACAGGGCTGAATTGGCACACGGCACGGAGGGTCGACTGGTGGCTCCAGCGCTACGAATCAGTCCTGTCATGTGACATTTCCACCCTGGCAGCTGCTCGGGCACAGGTACGCAGAAACTAGAGAGTGGGGTTGCTCCACGGTTGGAGCTTTGCCAGATAGGTGCAAGGAAGTGACGAGAGGGACGAGAGGCTCTAAGCTGGCTGAGAGGGATGTAGGGAACGCTGAGGACTGAAGGAGGGGGAGAGCGTGAAGAGGCCTCAAGGAAGAGGGAGGGGCGGGAGGGACTGGTGAGAAGGGAGGGGTTAGGGCCCCCATCTCCAGTATTCCTCATGCTAGTCCAACCTCTTTCTTTCATCTTTTCCTTCCATTCCCCCATTTCCCGTCTCTCACCCCGGTTCTTACCCTGGCACCTCCTTCCAAGAGTTCCTCTCCTTGCCATGGTAGATCTTAGCCAGCTGAAGCGGGCACGGCGAGGGGCTGGGACATCAAACAGACCTGGATTCAAACCTGCCTCTGGGGCTTGATCACTGCGTGGTTCTGGGCAAATGACGCATCCACCCTAAGCTATCATTTTCTTTTTTTTTTTTAACTATTTTTTTAAATGTTTATTTTTGAGAGAGAGAGTGAGACACAGTGTGAGTGGGGGAGGGGCCGAGAGAGAGGGAGACACAGAATCCGAAGCAGGCTCAAGGCTCTGAGCTGTCAGCACAGAGCCCGACGCGGGGCTCGAACTCACGAACCGTGAGCTCGTGACCTGAGCTGAAGCTCCGCTTAATCAGCGGAACCACCCAGGCGCCCCTTTCGTTTTCTATCTGTAACGTGGAAAGAACTCATGCTACCAGACTGGGATGCTGAGGGTTAGAGGTGATGGTCATGATACGCTCTACCAGCATGCACAGCACATGGTGATTTCTCCATAAATGGTCGGCTTTTTTGCTACTGACTGCCCACCCATTCTGCATTGCTCTGCCATGCGGGGGAGGCCTGCCCTGCCCAAGAGCCAGTCAGGGGGCCAACATCAGGTGGGCGGAACTTCAGCCCTCCCTGTGGCCCCCTCCTCTACCCACAGAAGGTAGGTAAGCAGGCAGGCAGGCAGGCAGATTATCCCTAACTGCCAGCGGCTGCGTGCCCTCTACCTGCCCACAGATCTTCAGGCTGACCCGGAGCAAGGTGGATGACGACAAGGCACGCGTCCTCATTCGCAGCCTCCTGGATCACCCAGCCCTTGAGGAGCTGGACCTGTCACACAACCTCGTTGGGGACCGGGGCGCGCGTGCCGTGGCCAAGCTGCTGAGCCACAGCCATTTGCGAGTGCTCAACCTGGCCAACAACCAGGTGCGCGTGCTTGGTGCCCAGTCGCTGGCTCACGCCCTAGCACACAACACCAACCTCATTTCCCTCAACCTGCGCCTCAACTGCATTGAGGATGAGGGCGGCCAGGCGCTCGCACACGCCTTGCAGACCAACAGGTGCCTCACAACACTGCACCTCGGGGGCAATGAGCTGTCTGAGCCCACCGCCACCCTCCTCTCCCAGGTGCTCGCTGTCAACACCACGCTCACCAGCATCAACCTGTCCTGCAACCACATGGGGCTGGTAAGCTGCACCTTCTGGGGCAGGCGGGGCCCAGGAGAGGCCCTGGGGCCTAGTGGGGGGGGGGGGCTGGGTGTGGCCTCCGACTGCCTCGGGATGCTTCCGGGATAGTTGCTAAGACCACAGACTTTCCTTGGTTCTAATCCCAGCTCTGCCATTCACTGGGCTAAATTACTTCACCTTTTGGGGCCTCCGTGTCCTCATCTGTAAAATCGGGATAATAATTGTATCTACGAAGTGTTGTTGCTGGGAGGAGTAAATGAGTTATCCTTGTAAATCAGGTAACATTGCAAAGCCCTGGCTAGGACATCAGCATCGCTAGCTGTTACTATTACTCAGGGTTTTATCCTATGCTAGGCACTGATGTCCTTTGGTGTCCTTTTTTTTTTTTTTTTAATTTTCTTTAACGTTTATTTATTTTTGAGAGACGGAGTATGAGTGAGGGAGGGGCCGAGAGAGGGGGAGACACAGAATCTGAAGCAGGCTCCAGGCTCTGAGCTGTCAGCACTGAGCCTGACCCGGGGCTCGAACCCAAAAACCGTGAGATCATGACCTGGGTTGAAGTCGGACACTTAACCGACTGAGCCACCCAGGCGCCCCTGTTCTGCCTCATTTTCTAAAAATGCATCCGTAACCCATTAAATTGACTTTGCAACACACTACTGGGTCACAACCATAGAAGTCTTTCACATAAAAGACCGCTACCAAACCTCTCCAGAAAAGCCTTGTTCACACACGCACTGTTTCCAGATGGGGTGCTTTTGGCTACAAGTAATAGAAAGCTGAACCAGGAAATGGCTTAAACAAGAGGACTGTTGGGGGCGCCTGGGTGGCTCAGTCGGTTAAGCGTCTGGCTCTTGGTTTCAGCTCAGGTCATGATCTCATGGTTTGTGAGTTCAAGCCCTGCATCAGACTCTGGGCTGACAGTGTGGAGACTGCTTGGGATACTCTCTCTCTCTCTCTCTCTCTCTCTCTCTCTCTCTCTCTCTCCCTCTCTGCCCCTCCCCTGCTTGCCCTCTCTCTCAAAATAAATAAATAAACTGAAAAACAAACAAACAAGAGGAACTTTATGTCCCATAATCAGAAGCCCCAGGGTAGGGGGTTCTGGAGTTGGTAAATTCAATGGCTTAGTGCCATTGTCTGCTCTGCCCATCCCGGCCACATGGCCATGTCCTGTCAGGTGCTTCTCTCATGGTCCCAGGATGGCTGCTGCACCTCACAAAGCGTCATGCTCAGAGACAGAAAAAGGGAGAGCACCCCTCTTGTTCCTTTTTCAGAGCGAGAAGAACCTTCCAGAAGCCACTCCCTCCAAACTTCCTCCTCACATGTCATCAGCCAGATCTGTCTCACATACCCATGGCTGGACCAGAGGAGTGGAATTACCATCATTGCCACAGAGCAATGTTTTTCAAACCATTAGGGTTGAAAAATCAATTTACTATGTCTTGAGCACCATTTTTTCTTACGGCAGAGAATGGGATAGGGTAGGATAACCTAGGACTGAACACAGTAAAGTGGTGCACAAATAGGTTAACCATTGTTTTGTGAAACTCTTATCCTAGTCACATCTTTTTTTGTTTTTTTAATTTTTTTTTTTTAGTTTATTTATTTATTTTGAGAGAAAGAGAGCACAAGCAGGGGAGGGGCAGCAAGAGGGAGAGACAGAATCCCAAGCAGGCTCGGCACCATCAGCACAGAGCCTGATGCGGGGCTCGAACTCATGCACTGTGAGATCGTGACCTGGGCCGAGATCAAGAGTCGGACGCTTACCCGACTGCACCACCCAGGCACCACTCGTCACATCTTTATATAGAGCGTGTAGGTGTGTGTGTGTGTGTGTGATCCTGGGTAGTAACATGAAATGACCCTTTCCCTGTACTCCTCTCTCAGGATGGCGGGAAGCAGCTCCTGGAAGGCATGTCAGACAACAGGACCCTCCTGGAGTTTGACTTGCGCCTGTCAGATGTAGCCCAGGAGAGCGAGTACCTCATTGGCCAGGCTCTCTGTGCCAACCGGGAAGCAGCCCGCCAGCGGGCCCCGAATCCCAGCTGCTTCCTGTCACCAATCACGGCCAAGGGCCCTGAGAACCCTGCAGGATAAGATGGGGGACAGGGCTGGGGCAGTGGCTGGAGCTGGGTCACTGCCCCAGTCCCATCCTTCATTTCATGCCTCTGTCGTGCCTGCTGTAGAGTGCCACACTGGTCTAGAGGGAGGAGAAAGGGGGAGAGCACGGATATCCTTAGGGTGAGTGATCGAGGGTCGTTTGGATAAAGATGTGAGGAAGAGGAGGGGTCTGGGATAGGGGGAGCGAAGGGGTATGAAGTGGGACCCATCTCCTATACCCAGGGCCAGGATATTACCAGACGCCCCGAAATGACCGACTTCTTCCGGGATTAGGGAAGGCAGAGAGGACTCTGAAGGCCTGTGCCAGCCCAGCCTGTCCCATGGAGGTCGCCCATCTCCCCGACCCTTCTCTTCTCTATTGAACAGATCCTTGACTTCTTGACCTTCAAACATGTCCAAGTGTGCACGTGCACAGTCTCTCTCTCTCTCTCTCTCTCTCTCTCTCTCTCTCTCTCTCACACACACACACACACACACACACACACACACACACACATTATATGGTCTCTCTCCCCTGGCTACCACAGAGCTTTGCCTGGCTCTTCCACCCTCAGCCCTGCAGATGCCACCTCCGTATTACTCGACCTGCCAAAGTGATCCCATTCTACAGGCCATGCCATCCACTAATACTACCCCCCCCCCACACACACACACCTCGGAAGGGGGAAACAGAGGTGACAGGAGGGGCTCAGACTCCCTGCCTCCCCTGCGAGCTTCTGCTGGAGGTGCCACACTGGGGAGGGAAGTCGGTGAGTCATCTGCAACTTTATTATCCACCAGTTTGATTTGTACAATCTTTGCGCTTGGAAATCCACGACAGAAAGGCCACAGTGTGATGCACCCAATTGACAGAGACCCGTCTTCTCCCTAGCCAGGCCCAGCCCACCCCTCAAGCCCTTGTCCCCGCGCACGTATGGAGCCTTCCGGGTGACCTCCATGAGTCTGCGACACTCCATGGCTGCCCACAGGAGTCATGTCGACCCACAGGGCCACCAGAGAACCTGAGAGAGTCAGGCTGAGCCCCCATCTCCCATCCTCCTCCCGCCGAGGGGCCCAGAGCCTCCAGCCTCGTGGTCTTTTCCAAAGGGTGGGCCATGGGCTGCAGCCACAGCCTAGGGGTGCCTGCGCGCTCCAGGGACTCCTTCCACCAAGCAGGCGCCAAGCCGAGCACCACAGGGGGCTTGGGAGTGACTGCACTTGTGTGCCTGTCTGGGCAACCTAGAGTCTGTTTGTGCCTGACACCCTCTGACAGTTCTGGAGTGCACACGTGTAGATGTGAGGGTGTGTGTGAGTGTGAGCATGTGTGTGTGTGTGTGTGTGTGTGTATGTGTGTACATAGCCACAGCTGCTAGCAGAGGTTCTAATTAGAGAAACAAGAACATTCAGTGTAAAGTTTAATTTTAGAGATTAATTAATTTTCTGGTTTTCGTTTTCCCTGGCAATCAATAAAGCTACCAAGAAAATAGACCAAAGAATTGGCTTCTCTCTAAGTCTGTGCGTGTGTGGGAGGTGAGGCTGTCTGCGTAAGAAGACCTAGGCAGAAATGGTCAATACAGGCAAAAATAATAATAGTGGGCCCCGGGGGGGGGGGGCCCCGCCCCCAGCTCAGGCTCTGTCTCAGGAACAGGCCTGAGGGAGAAGGAGCTGAGTTCTTTCCTCCTTGGAGCCGAGAAGTGGCCAGGCCGCCCAAGGGTATGACATCCAGGTGCCAAGAACTGGGGCCTGCGGCCACAGCTCCTACCACCTGTACCTCACAGATGTCTGTTCAGAGCAAAGAGCGGTGCTCCAACCTCCAGGCCCCCGAGGAGCACAGACTCAGGGCCCAGGCAGGTTCAGTGCTGGCAGGCAGCTGGCCCCTGCTGCCCAGGGAAACCTAGTGGACTGCTGTTCCCTCCTGCCCAAGCCTCCCCATCTCCTGCCTCCTCTGCCTTCCCACTCAGCCATCGCTACAGCAAAGTAAAGCTCAACCCCAGTGGGCCACGGGCCGTGGTGTCCCCACAATCTGTACCTCCCGAGTCCCCCAGGGAAGGGGGCAGGGGGAGCCAGAGGAGATGTTGCATAGGTGGAGGCCATGTCCTTGGCAGGTGTAGGCCTGGCTAGGCTGGAGGAAGATGGCAGAGGCTGAAGGAGGGGACGGAGGAGCTCTGATGGCTCGGGCAAAGCGAGGAGCATCAGGGGTGAACGATGGCGGCCGCCCAAGGGTTATCCTCTCCAGCCTGAAATGTGACCTCAATCCCTGGGCACTAAGTCTGCTGGGAAAACTTTGGCAGGAGAGTTGGGAGGGCAGGGGGTTGTACGCAGACATGCACACAGAAGCACATCAGGGAGGGAGTGGTGGCGGAGAGGAGGTGTCACAGCTTTAGGGAACAGGACGTGGGGCCAGCGCCCTTGGGTGGTGGCAGGATGCCCCTCTGGGCCCCACTGCAGGGCTTCAGCTCATGGGATAGGGGAGGACAGAGGGGTTGGGCAAGATTTAGAGAATTCCTGCCTCTGACCCTGACACTGGATTTGAGTTCATTTCTCCAGCTGGGGCTTGTGAGGACATCCTCAGTCCTACAGAGGTAATGTGTGGAGACAACCACCCTTTGCACCCCCCCCCAAGTCTGGGGAAGCAAAAGTTGCCCCAGACACCCCTTTCAGTCTCCCTCGAGTGCCCTCTCCTCTTTGAATCCCACCTGCTTCTAGAGTTTGTCACCCAGGTCTGTCTCCCACTCTTCCCACCCACTCACGTTGGCCAGCTTTAATGAACGCGCCTAGGGGGAGGGTAACGCCCCAACCCCCTCAACTGAAGGGAGAGCCCTCTCAGAACCCAGGTGAGGAGGCTGCTGCTGCCAGGGGGCTGCAGAGTTTAGAGAAAGGACTGAGGTACATGCCCTCCACATTATGCCTCCCTCCTCTCTGGGCAAGTGCTCTTTAGGGCCAGAGAGCCGGAGGGGGGCGGGGGGAGTGACGTGTGCAGTGTGAGCACAGTCCCTCCAGGACCCACACTCCAGGGGCCCAGCGAGATAAACAGCAGTGAAGGGAGTGGCAGAAAGGAAACCCCGATGGTTGGGGCCAGCGCCAAGAAGAGGATAGCAACATTTGCACGGTTTTGAGATGGAGCATCGGTTTTGAGATGGAGCATCGGTTTTGAGATGGAGCATCGGGGCTGACATCTGGCCCCGGCTTCAGACCCACTGAATTCATTAGCTGGTTGGAAGCCAGCCCCGCTGTTCGCCAAACCACGGCGACCTCAGTAGAGAGAGGCCCTGGTGGGGCCAGGCAGCGATGGAAGGAAAGCCCCAATTTCCCTTCCCCACGCCTCTAAACCTCCCCAGCTGCACAGCGAGGGGCCTCACACTGGAGACAGGCCCCACGCGGTGCCACAGCACGGCCTCCACTAACAGTCAGAAGATCCGTTGAAAGGCTGGACGGGAAATCTCGAGTGTGCGTGTAGGGCGGGGAGGTGTCCCCCTAGGACAGGGACGGGGCTGGAAGAGCCCACCGTGCCGGGATTCTCCGGAGCCCCCCCCCCCCCATCGGTCTCTTTATGTACAGGGAAGGCGGGGGATCCGGACCCCATGGGGTCTGTCCCGCGCACCGTCGCCTCCCCGCTCCCCGCGCCATGCCCAGCACAGCCTCGGTCACCATCATGACCCCCCTGCTACACGCAAGAAGCTCAGTCCCGCGAGGGGCAGGAGGGAGGGCGACGGGCTGCCCGGGGCCGGAGGTCACAGTGAGGTCTCTACGCAGGAGCCGTGGCGGTGCAGCGGCCGGTGGCTGTGGCCCAGACACCCCTCCTGCCGGTGCACGATGAGGACCGGGAAGTAGAGGGCGTCGTGGTAGGGCGGCGGCGGCCCGGCCTCCTCCTCGTCGTCGTCCTCGTCGTCCCCCATGCTGGCCTGGCTCGACAGCCGCGTCTGCTCGGTGGGGCAGCTCGCCTCGTTGACGCTCCCGCTCCGGCTGCGCCACAGGCAGCTGCGCCGGGAGCCGTAGAGGCGGCCGAGCGAGAAGCGGCTGCCCCCGCAGCCCGCCCCGCCTCCGGGCCCGGGCCCGGCCCGCGGGCTGGCGCAGATGCTGAGCGCGCTTCGCGAGAAGATGGACGAGCTGCTGACGGCGCGCTGGCAGTGCTCGCAGCTGCGCCGGTACGGGGCCACGCCCGCCGCGCCCGGGCCGCCCACCCCGCCGTAGCGGCACGTGGGCGCGTAGCCGCCGCCCGCCGCCCCCG